TTTAATGATTTAGGTATACACAGCTTTAGTTCTAAGAGCAGACTAAAAATAGTGATTTTAATTTATTCCTGCTGCCTACAATTACCCACAACCATGTATTTTTAAATATTTCCAGCCTAAAAAAATTACTAATTTTTGCCACTTGTGTTTATCTGCATTTAGACTTTGATTTGGATAAATTAAGCTCTCAAGTGTTCCTTGCTTTATGAAACTCTGCATGTTGTACACTTCAACACAAATAAATGACTTGTACCATTAGAGGTTTAAATAATGTAATGTATTTCATGCTCAGCCTGAAGCTGGATTCCAATGAAGTTGCTAATGCACGTAATGATTAAGTGTAACTCAAATACTAACTGTGTTGTTGAAAACATGACAGGCAATAATTTGGTCTATTATATTCTGCCATTTAATTGCCTAGTACAGACATTCTCTGACACGTTATGAAGCAATGATTTACAATTATTCAAGCTGCAAAGGTCAGAAAGTGACATTATAATCATCTACATAGAGATCCCTTCTAATGCACAAAAACTAGGTAATGCCACACACAAAAAAAGAGTTTTACTGCATTAGTAACTTTCTATTTAAGGTTTCTTAAACTAACTATGAATAAACAGTTCTTAAGCACATTAATACACAACTTTAAAATATCTGGAATCTGATCATGAACCCAGAGGTGACAGATTTTGAAAATGCTTTATTATCTCCTGATTAGGTAAATCCTATTTATAGTCAACTATTTAATTCTATACACATGAAACAAGATTAAACACAGGAGTAGACAACATGATCCCCAAATCATGTATACTGAAGTGCAATGCTATTGAATGCAGGCATACAAAACTTAGGCATCATTTCCTAGGTTTATGAAAATCATAAACCTATTATTAGTTTTTTTTATAATTCTCTCAAAATACATAGTACTGAAAATAAAAACACATTAAATTTCTTCAACATTACACCGCTTATGTTACTGAAAACATAACACAATCTTTAAGTAAGTGCAATAATTAACAACACATGAAAGAAAACAAAAAAAGAGCAAAATCATTTAAAGCAATATTACTAAGTAAGTAGGGAGAATTAAACAGAGAGAGATGGAGTGTTGAATAGTACACTATGAAGGCAAGATTTTGTGCAAGCAACTTTTTTAAAGAACATAAATTTGAGCAATAACAAAATAAAAGTGGCTACTGGGAGGAAATATGTAAGTTACATTTATTACATACTAGAAAAAAATACAAATTAAACTAAATCAGTAGTGATAAAAAAATATGACAAAAGCAGACAAAGTAAACAGGATAGTTACAAGGGGGAAAAAAGCAGGAATTCATCATTACTAACTACATAACTTAAGCACATCACTAGAAGAATATGTTGAATTTCAAAGTTCCCATTTATGAGGAAAACAAATAAGCCTGAGCTATCTTACAAAGCTACTGAGATCAACAAATTAGATATATGGTAACCAAACCACAAATACTGTATACTACTGAACATAACAAATGCTATTATATATAGTATACATATACATATAATATACATTTAGTACATATAATATATACATATAGTATACATAATATATACTATTACATATACCCAGACAGAATTAAAATACGTATAAAAGAATTACCAAAATATGGCATCTAAAATGACTTTTTCTGGTTATTGAGATGTTCAAGTTTTTGACTACTAAAAAATAAAGGTAAGGCCTATGAATGTAATAAAAACGTATTTTTACTTATTTCTAATCATGAAATTATTCATTTCTACGTAAGGATGTTTTCTATTATTTTTCTTACCATTAATGCCTTTCAGATTTATAAATTTTCATGTTTGCTATTCATTAAATGAGTAAATATAAGTATCTCTACATTCTATGAAATTCCTCTCTTGACCCTACTAAATGCAAAAAAAAGTATTAATAAACTACAGTGCTCAAAAATCTATTTCTCCTAAAAGCAAACACAAAATGACCCTGACATATGGTTATGTATGACATGTACTTAAAACCTGAAGCACAAAGCAATGAATTTTTAAAAATTTTACCATGACCTGGGCAAGTAAACATTACTGAGGTAGAAGTTGAATTCCGCTTCTGAATCCTAAGTAATTACATAACAGGAACTAAACTTTTAACACATTCAACTTCTTATGCCAAATTAGCTTAAATGCATGATACAATGTGACTAAGATCACCAATGGAAGGAGGGGAAGATCATCTTAAAATAGAGAGATTCAAAGAAAATCAATGTAGCGCCACACAACTTACACAAAAGGCAGCATTTGTTAAAGGAGTCACTACTATGAAACCTTAAACCTGGAGTCCTCATAAAAACACAAAATACATTAGTTGATGAGCACCAATAATCTCTTTATACAGTACAAGACATAAGAAAGGTCAATTACAAATAATCTGAAACATTATTACTTATCTGATTCAACAAAACATATTACTTGTTGTTTCCATCAATTTCACTATTAAAAAAAACTATTTTCCTCAAGAAAACCAAAAAATTACTTAAGACAAAAAAAAAAGAGTTAGTATTTTAAGTAATAATTTCACTTTTAAAATGTGCACTCCCCTAATATTTTTAAATAGTTTTCAATCAGGGCTACTTCAGAAGTAACCTCTTACAACTCAAATAAAGAAGAGATCATTAACAAACTTTTTTAGACAATATAAAGATATTAACTGGAGAAAAGAAAACATGTAGGACCTTCTGTTTGTGACAAAATTATAGAGTTAATGTCCCTGAAAGATCACTTCACCTTTTAAATTATGATTTTGTAAAATGTAAAATTTATAGCAATTACAGCTAATGAAGAAATGCAGCATGAGCTGCTTATATTCAGGAACTAATAGGTCCACTGAGCATATCTAAGGTTATTTAGCCATCAATGATAATGAATTGATATTGTCAGTGATGTTAATGTACCAACACTCTCTCATACAACTACTGTGATAGCCAATCTCTACTTTTGTTTTGTGTTCCACTTTAATTTTGAGTTACACACTGCACAATCCCTACGAAATATATAAAATCAGAACCTATGACAATCTTTGACATTACATTTCATTCTTGTTCAGTTTCAACTACACACATCAATAAGGATTCTGCAGTTTACAATTCTTCAGTATATTTAGCTTCACTATGAAAATATTTACCCTGTTAAAATCACTGCCATGTAAATTTCAAATTAAATTTCATTTAAAGACAGAAAGAATTATCATTTAATAGTTACATGAAATTCAATGGCTACTATAATCTAAAATATAAAAAATTGTGATCGAGAGTACTTATTCTATATCCACACACACACACACAACCTTGTGGCAGCATTATGAAGCTCAATATATACATATTTGTTTATAATTCTGTATCTTGATAATCAAGCATATAAACTACCAATGTAATACTTTCAGTTCTATATAATGAGCAATTAGTTAAGCAAAAAGTATACTGTTCAAATTATACAATTAAAGCTAATCAATTATGAATTGTTTCAGATAAAATAGTTCAGAAATTATTGTCTGAAAAACTTCCTTTTCTCTTCCCAGGGTCTTAGTAACCCTAATTAAAAAAAAATTTTTTAAAGGATGGAATTAGATTACAAATAACAGAGTATATAAAAATCATATTATTTATTTCTCAGAAAGGGAAAGGAACTGCTTACTGTCACCTAACAGCAAATTTTCACTGGAGGCAGGGCTACTCTCTTTACTATAACTCATATGGTAAAAGCAATAAATGAGATATCTTTTAAGTTTCTAAGTCCTACAGCAATGAAAATGAACCATTTGGCACTTGACCCCTGCAGCTAAACTTAGTAGTAACAAAACTCATTCTCCTACTGATCTTCAGGGGGCTTTAGGGCAATGGTTCATCTTCATTTACTTTAGCTGCAAGTCACTGAACCATCAATTCTGCCAATGAATAAATCACAGACTGTGCTTAATAAAACTGCTTGCAAAGTTATTTGTAAAAATTATCTTAAGGGTCAAAAAGTGCAACTGCATCCTGGGATAAAATACTGTTCAACAAAAAGCAGAACCTGTTTCTGATTAAAAAGATATTTACATGGTAGACTCTTAAGAATTTTCCATTAAAGAAAAAAAGTAATAATATGAATATTGTATAATTTAAATGAATGTGTTGTATTCTGTGAACTAGCCATAAGAACTCCAAGTCTCTTAGGTTTCAGAGTATTTTTATACAGTATACTTATTAATTTCTCTAACATAGTAACATTAAAATATATTTTTAATCAGAAAGAGTATTTAATCCACCTCTGAATATCCTATGATATACCATAAATGTCACAGCATTTAAAACTTTTTAAACATTTCTGCTAAATTAATTAGCTTTACATTAAGGCATCTCTGGTGCTTTTTATGAAATGTAATATATTTAAATGACAATTAAACATTGTGAAGGATTCTGCAAAAAAAGAGCCATTAACCAAAAAAGGAAACTAGTTTTGAAATAAAGTTATACAAAAATACATTATACACTGTTTTTCAGTCATCCCTCAAATAATCCATAATCAGCCATCTGAAATTAAATCTTTTGTTGTTTTCCTTATAGAATAAGTTCCTAGATTAAAAGAATCATTAATGTATCTAAAATTAAAATAGTATAGCAAAAGAAAAAAACATACATATACACCCCTAAAGTATGTATTTTTTATGTCATTAAATGGAATTTATAGTTCTCTCTGGCAATGTGAATGAACATCCTATAATTTAGCCAATTTAGAGATTACAGGTTCAAATTGACCTTGTAGCCTATAAAATTGCTCATCTTCAGTACAGGATTAGAAGTGGGAGAAGAATGTCATAACTGTACTTAAGGAATTTACCATAACAATGGAGAGGAGGATATGCATGCATAATTTTAGCCACTTTTACTCATATCAGTTTTGAATTCTGAAACAATGGATATCTTGCACTGGCTTCCTGGTTCACACAGTGGAGATGACTTCAATTTACTCACCCACAGACATGACACTTGTATTCCCTCATTCCAAGGTGCCTTTTCACATGGTTTCTGGCATCTCCAAGCTGAGCTGTTGCAAAATGGCATATCTTGCACTTGAATGGTTTTGATCCTAAGCAAAATTAATATAGAATATGATTTGAATTTGAGTAATAGCTTATTGATAGTTCAAAAAGTGTTAAATCTTAAATCTTACCTTTAATATAATAATTTAATTTAAGAATTTGTGTCCCCAAAATGGAATAGTTGCATCAATTATGACCTGAATATACTTGATTCCATAATTATTCTACCTGGAAGGCTTTAATGTTTTAGTAAGTGTTAACTTTCAATATTATTTTTTAAGATTTAAAGTTAAAAGTGATATAGTTAAGCAGCACTAAACAGCTGAGACAAGCTAAATAATTTTAAATAGACTTTTTATGAGCTACAAAAATGTTTCTTAACAGCACTCAGTATTTAAAATGAAACATTTTAAAAGCATAAATGCTTATACAATATTGAGTATCTTTAAAAGTATTATCACTGAGTACATTTCCTCATATTCCTCCAGTTCTGAATGCATTCATAGTAATGATGGTACTTAAAATATTCTTCTGCCATTTATCTCAAATGATGCAATATATTAATATCTTAATAACAGTGTGTGAATGCACAGTGAATAAATTATTGTGCTTTAATAGTAATTTTAGAGTAGAAAATTTGTTCTGATTCAACAAATCAAAAATATTAACACTTTGATTATCAGCTTCATGAACAAATATTTCAATATAAAAGGCAATAAAATATTTTCAAAATTTCATGAATAAGATCAAATTTCACTCAAAAATGACAAAACAGCTTCAAAGTCAACAAAATTAATAACATCTAAGATTGCAACAGCAACAATAATATTTAGTAGCAACAATAATGTAAAACAACTCTTTCAAAACAGAAAAATATATATATATGTACACACAAAGATCATTTTGCAATTTTCTAACCATTACATCTTCAAATACATAGACCAAAATCATAATGATAGTTTAAAATTAATATAATATGTTTCTAGATTTTTCATATCATGTTTAGACCTGTTTGGTGAAAGGGCCACTTCTAATATAATTACACAGAATATGAAATATGTGAACCTTCATAAATATACAAAAAGAGCTCAAATAAAAAATTGCAATAAATTATATGTGATCAATGGACCTTTGTGTAGTATCCTTAGGAAAAAATATCTTTCAAGAATATTTTGAAATTGAAGCATTCAGTAAAAAATTTTAGTCTTAAATTTCAACATTTAATTCCCAAAAGTTGACAAAAAAAGTGAAGTTTTTAACTTTCCAACAGAAATTTTAAAAAGTCAACAGTACTGCTCGTGGGCAGACAAGGTTGAATATTTCACAGTTCAATAACAATGAGGCCAAATCTCTTAATACTTCCATTTCTACAGTTAGAAATAGATATTAAATATATTTAGCACCTGAATGGTTATATCCAGTCAGGTATATATGCTTAAATGTCAAAAGCAGGTTGAGATGGCAGCTTACAGCAATCACATTCTATCAATCATATCAGAAACTATAGTTTATTAAAATGATTCTGATAAAACTAAGCCTATCACTACTTCAAAATACTACATGAAGACACAGAATTCTACAATGTTTGAAAAGATAAGAATGAGAAGAACCAATTTACCTATATCTTAAATTAAAATCCTTTAAAGGTAATGGGGCAATTAGGACTTTACTAAGAACATTACACTCAAAAAAAAAAAAAAAGAAAAGTTTCCTCAATATTAATATGACAATCTGGGGCAAAGAATGTAAAACACATCTCCTAGGTTTGAGTCTCAGCTTCACGCACACAACACCTCCACCTGTGACTTGTGCCCTCACCAGTGGCAGAGGCAGATGTGGGCTCCTGGGGGGCTGCACTGGGCTATGCATAGTTCTTCTAGGAGGCACTTAGCCCCGCAGGTCTCAGTGATTACTGCTGGAGTGTGTGGAAGACACGCCGGTGAGTTATTCTGTTGGTTGCTTCACCCAGGCACTGAGGCCTTAACTGTCTTACATTCCAAGCAGGCTGTGTTAACATTTCTTTTCTGTGCCACAAAAATTTATGTAGAGGAGGTAATAGCTCTCTGTATATGATAAAGAAAACCTATCCCTTTTTGTTGCCTTACAATGTTTCCACTTTCAAAACTGGGCCACTCATAAATGCTTATAAGGCAAAATTTGTAAAAGCATATATTTCTAAATTTGTCTTTATCTCAGGTTACTATACAATATCTTAAATAGTTCCATTCCTTGGAACAGCGTTACCCTCAGGAAACCTTTTGTTGTTGCTTTAACTCTGTGAGGTTTTTCAAAGGTAAAACCTAAGAGGCTCTCTAGCTTTCAGGTGCCGTACCACTTTCCAGAAGAATTCCACAGATTTGAAAAATGCATTCAGCACTCAGACCTACAAGACATTCTGTAGCCACTTTCCTAATTGTCAAGTTTATACAGAAGTAACACTAACATTCAGAAAGAGGAAAGAGAAAGGGACAGGAATAGGGAAGGAAACTTAAGCAAAACCAAGTTTTAGGTCTTAAAGGAAAGAAGTAAAAAGTAATGAAGTAACACATACGTCATGTAATGCTTCTCAACTATAGCCTTAACCCTGCAACTGTCTCTAAATATGTTAACATTTCATTTGCTCAGTCATTCATCTGCTCATGTACACACTATTTCAACAAATTACACTGAGAGCCAACTATGTGTGGGGCACATAGAGAGGAGGTAGTAAAAGGAATAGAGTCCTGTGATCAAAGCCTGCAAATGCACTCTTCAGTGATCCATCTGTTCTGTAAACTGTCATGTACTGAGTAATAAACACTGCCAGCCCTAGTTTTAAAGTTTTCAGTGAAGTCGCCTCCTACCTTCCCATATGTGAACATGTCTGTGGCAATGGCAGAAGTGACCAGAGTACTTTGAACATAAGCAAATGGCTTTAGACCATATTGCAGCATAATAATATCTTCCATGTCATGTAAAATAAGAGCTTTTAAAAGAAAAATATAATAGACAAAATGAGCAGCTCTGTCAGTACTACACTAACATGAGAGAAAAGCCTCCTAGCCGGCCAGGCTGACTGCTTACTGCTTCTCATCAGCAAACATAAGAGGGAAACTTTGGGATTCAAAACTCATTTATTTCTTATAATGTGTTTTAATCACACTAAGGATGGGAAAGAAAAGCTTATATAAAACATGTAGTAAATCACAAAATATGAAAATAGGGACTGGAAGAGTAAGCTCTATTCCAGTTAACCATTAATAACAGTCTCTTCAGTACTATTTCAAAAGTCATGTATCAGAAAAGCAATTCATTTTAAGATGCTCCAAGAAAAGAGAGAAGGGGGGGACTAGATTTAAATCTGGAGACCAACTTCCCCAAAATTGACTTGCAAAATCGAAATGACAGACTGGTACTATATACCCAGGACGGGTATTCTCAGTGGTGATTCAAAGCACAATAAAAATGTACTAGCCGATAAGAGGAACACAAGATGTTAAAAAAAAAAAAGTATGCTAACTTTTACTAAATGTTACAATCAATGATGTAACTTATATAAGTAGGGTTACTTTGTCACATATTGATAGTTACCTCACTTTCACATCCACATTAACTTGATTTTAAATGCAATTAATACATATAGTCAAGGAAGACTAATGGACTACATTCTGCACTTAACCTGGTGGACATTTTCAAATGGCACAAGTGACCAGTGCAAACCTATTTTGCATTGTAAACGACTAAATAAATCTTAATGGATTAAGAATGATCAGCTATCAACACACAAGGGAAATTAAGTGCTGAAATGCTTACATTGATTATTTTAAATTATTAGCCTTACTCTGTTCTTGAATTTGTATGCTTTTAGTGAGCTTTAACACATTTACAAGACTTATTGACTATAATTACAAGAGAATTCAAGTAATGGACACATCAATTATAGGCAACATGTCTTGACCAGACAGTTGCATAAAGAATTCTAAAAAGAGCTCCATTAGCATCTTCCTCTTAGTTTTATTCAGCTTTATCTGCCTTAAGAGGGCATATTAAGAAGATACATATTTTCTGTGAATGTGAACAAGCTTAATTTCTAAAACTGTATCATTTCAGAAAGTGACTGCAACAAGATACTGACAGAAATATTAATAAGGCAAATAAGTAAGTATTTAAATTTACTCCAAAATACAGATCTATCTGTTTTGAACAGCTTAAGTTGAAATCACAAGTATAGTATATATATTTACCTAGATTAATCTTATGTAGGTTGATTTTTCTTTCCTCAATAGAAAACTTTTATCTATCTTTAATCACTCTATACTAGTAATCAGGCTCCATACTTTCTTATCTTTCTCCTTATAATCATGCACTAAGTTTCAAAAACTGCATGAATTTAAAGTATAGTTTTAATAATAAGCCATTATTTAAAAGTACAGTAAAATAAACCTTACAGTTTTAATGAAAATATGTTCATTGAAATGTGAATTTATTATTCAAATCCACTCATAAATTCAACCATGGAGACAGAACTTGTCTAAGCAGTGCACAATGATTTAGAAAAGCTGTCTATTTAAAATAAAGAATGTATGGCAGGTTTATAGAAACAGTGCCTTGAATTTTTACATAAATTTAGAACAGCAGCTTATGCATTTTCCACCAAAATTTTTTAATTTCTCCCTAAAATTAAACATTAACATGGAACACTAAATGTGACAGAGTACAGAAACTAAATCAAGTGCTATCTCTGTAAAAACCAAATCCCTAGCACATATTAACTTGAAAATTGCTAATTTTGATCCTTGAAGGCAGAATCTTGTTGCCCAATTATATAGATGGATATAAAGTATCTGACCATGAATATTTTTAAATTCCTAAAATTGTAAGAAACTTTTTACTAAAAGACAAAAACTATTTAAAATGTCCTCTGAAATCACAAAGTATCACTTAAGATACACTTTGGAAAACCAAATAATTAGGGCATAAATAAATGAAAAATTGTCAAAGTCAAGAGTTTAACACCAGCATCAGAGGAGGGATGAGGCTTTTTGGCAAAAGAAACTTGTCAACTAACCTGCCTTTGAATCACTAAGGCTTAATTACCCTAGAACTGTTAAGTGTCAGCAATAAGTCGAGCACCACACAGCAGTGAAATCTGAACTAGGAGGATGGCCAACAAGCAATCAAGGTGGGGCTCCAAATCTGGATAGGAACAAATGCTCTTTCTTAATACTTGCATTTTAAGGCAAACAGGTCTGCTACAAAGTTTACATACCTGTATGTGTGCGAATGTGAGCCAGAAAGGCCATTGAATTGCTACTTCGACACATCTTCCCACAGTACTTGCAAACATTTCCCTGGTTTTCCTCTCTCTCCCGGTTGATTTGCTCAGTGTCTTCCATTATATACTTATTCACCTCCCGCAACAATTCCTCATGCTGTCCTTTAATATGTAGAAATAAATTCTGTTCAGAATCAAAGGGCTCTGTACACTTGACACATTTAAAGGTGGCCCCTCCCTCTGGAAGTTCTTCTACACTGGCTTGTTCATTTCTCATATGACCAGCACTAGCCAAATGCTGGTGAAGGTTGCTTTCTGTATAGAATGATTTCCCACAGAGTAAACAATGAAAATGTTTCTCTTTTGTAGGGTGCTTCATGGCTATGTGGACATTCAGTCCACTCAGTCCATCTGCTAAGAAGCCACAATCATCACAACGGATTCGTGAGGACTCGCTAAAGGAACTACCTTCAGTTTTCTTCTTTTTCAAGCCTTGAGCACAATCTTTTAAGGGCAACTCACTAATTCTCATCCCCATTCCCAGTAGACTCTCTTCCGGTTGGTCTATCAATTCACTATCTTCAGCATTCTTTATTCTAATTATAGAAGAATCAAACCGGCCAAAACTATACATGGCTTGCCCTTTATCATTAATACTGATTATAGTTTCGTAAACATCATTACGTTCAACAGTCCTTTCAGAAACGGGGTCATCCTCTTCCAAAATAACTTCAGTTTCATGTGGTGAATTCATCAGAATTTCCTTATTCTCCAGGACAGAATTTGCTTGCACATCTTTCAAATCTTCTGAACTGTGTGCACATTCAACTTTGTTCTGATCAGTGCCATCTCTGGATGTTATCATAGAGGTAGTACCTTCAGCAGACTGCCCTCCACTGAGGACTCCAGCACACAAGTATTTGTCAAGGACTTGACCTCTGCTACTTGCTGCATTTTCTCCATTGCTTTCACAGTGTGTACTTGAAGCCATTATGTCATTCAACATATCATGGTTTTTCTTTTCTGTCTCACAATTCAAATCTGAGCTTCGTGAATTTTCATTTTTAAATCTACTTGGGGAGCCAAAACTAGAGGAAATATTAACAGATACTATCGCAGGTTTAATATCTTTCTCCTTGACAAGGGGCTGTTGCAAAGTCTCACAAAACGAATGGTTTTCATTGAGATTAGATTCTCCCTCAGTTTCAATTTCTACAGAGTTAGGAGGACAGAGTACTTTAGATATATCTAGATTAGTATTCTCATCTATAATAGAACAGGCAGCATTTCTAGATTTCAGATTATCAGATGTTTGTTCTGAAATGATCTGAAACTCTGCAGTGTTTTGTGACTGCTCCTCTTCAGTTATGATGATGTTTTTGGACATTTCTGTAGAACCTGCTTCTACATTAGAAGAGCCAAGATATGACTGCCTTTTCATTTTGTGCTTCTCTGTTGCTGCATGCCTTGTCATCTCTCGACGAGTCACTGCATAGTAATCACAAGCCATGCAATAAAACTCAAATTCTTTTGTATGTTTCCGTTTCACATGCAGCTCTAGAGAAGCAGAAGAGTGAGCATTAAACTCACAGTGTAGACACTTATTATCACTTGTACCTGTAACATCTCTCTGGGAACATGCATCACCATGCTGGAGAAGGTCCTCCGACTCTACTGGTATTTGGTCCTTTCTATCAGTAAGATGGCCAGTACCTTCTCCATCTACAGAATGAAATGCATTTTCAACTTCAACCTCAGTTGGATTTCCACGATCATCTAATGGCTTTTCCAAAACAGAGGTCTCCGACTCCACTAACTTGTTAGCAAGTTCATCTAAATTATTCAATGCTGACTGGGTATTCTTTTTACAAGCTTCAAGATTTGCTCCTTCAGGACCAATAATGATATCTGAACTTTGCTTCCCATTTGCTTCTATTTCTACCCGTCCTTTATGTTTCTTGGTGGCACAATGACGCTCCATATCTCCCTTAGTTACAGTATAATATTTACATACTTTGCATAAATAACTATACTGATGACTGTGTTTACGCCTAATATGAACGGTCAAATTTGTAATACTGGAGGCCAAAAGACCACAATGTGAACATGTCCTTGAGATGTTGCCTTTGGGTCTCCCTCTCTTTGGAGCAGTGGTCAAGGCTAAATCATCATCTTTAGTAGTAACTCCAGATTGTGACAATTCCTTAGGCATTAGTATGCTCTTCTCAAGATAGGTATGTTCTTGTAACTGCACATCTATGTGGCCTTCACTCCTTCCACTTCCAGAAATGTTCAGATCTTCTTTTTTATCATTTGCACCAATACATACCCTTTCGATGCATTCCTCAAAGCTTAAGCCAATATTATTTTTCTTGGCATTCTCGAGATGCTTGCTTCTTTTAATGTGTTTCTCCATTCCTTCCTTGCTCAATGAATAAAGATTGCATGCTTTACACAGAAAATGATAGTCCTGACCATGCCGAAGCTTTATGTGTCTTGTGAGAACAGTAGAAGATCTTGTTTTATAAAAACACTTCTTACATTGAAACTGGGGCTTACTTGAGTGCCTTACTTCATGTCCATGACTTACTCTAGATTTAATAGGTTCTTCCTGAACTGTTTTCCCTGATTCATTCATAGAAGGTTTTGTGTTTTCTAACTCCAAAGTACTTAAAGGTAAGGTCTGTAAAACTAAATCACTGTTCAATGATACAGAAGTCTTTGGTTGAACCAATAAATTAATATGTTTCTCAGTTGCATTGTGCTCTTCCATGTCACTCTCAGATAAGAACAGATTACAAGAGTTACAAAAAAACCCCATCCCGTGCTTTTCCTTCATGTGTTCTCTAAGATTTACATCATTCAGAGAAATAAAGGAACAACACTGACAACTCAGGACAGAAGCTGTTTGCTGATGCTGGTTATTGTGCAAATGTTCCTCTAAGTCCCTCCTTGATGCACCAGAAAAGTCACACATCTGGCAATAAAATTTCATCTCTTTTGCATGGCACTTTTTCACATGGACTTCCAAATCTGCCCTATTTGTAGCTATATGATCACAATTTGTACACGTATACACCATCTGATGGTCAGGACCTGGCTTTGTTGTTGAGGAGTCCAGGTGCATGGGATCCAGAAGGCTGGAGCTTATCTTGTCCTGCAACACTTTTGGAGGGTCTGAGGTAGGCACACACAGACTCTGAACATCATTGTTCACATCTTGGTGTTTCAGCACTGGCTCTCCATCATTTGTTTTCATTTGTGTTCTAAAATGTTTCATATATATCCTCTGGGTTTCAGTTGCGCCTCTTTTATTAATTCCTGAAAGATTAAACCTTTTCTTTGCCTGGCCCTTCAAGATAAAAGTGCCACTTGATCGCCGAAAGCTATTACTCAACACTAAAATGTTTCGTTCAGGCCTTGGCCTCGAGGCGATACTGATACTATGTGGTGTTTGTAGGATATTTTTGGTAGATTCTGATTTATCTAAAAAATCCTCAGAGGTTACATATCCTAACTTTTTATTTTGTTCTTCAAGATTTCCACCTGTACCAAAGGAGGTAACATTTTCTTCAACAATCTCTGCTTTTTCTGATAAAGTATTATTGGATGGCATCATTTCAACAAGGAGCTCACTGCCACTGCCACTATGCTGAGAAGTGCTTCCTCCAGAGTCTTTAAATTTGCTCCCAATGTTTTGTAAACCTTTTGAATGCCTATTCTTTGTTCTTGGTTTTGCCCGAATATTCTTGGTTCCTGTTATACATGTTTTTTTAGGAAAAGATTGTTTTGTTAAGATCTGTACAAATCCTCCACGAGCAGCAAGATTCTGTCGCCGGAGATGTGTTTTGCCAAGATAGTGTGCGTGCAACAGGTTTTCCTCCACACACTGGAAGCCGCAAAGATCACAAGAAAAGGCTTTCTGTGGTCCATGTGTACGTTTGATATGGATATGGAGAGCTGTGCTGCTCTCTGCTTTGTGGTTACAGTGACAGCAGGCATGTTCTTTAACATGCTGCCCATGACATTCAGCATGTTTTTCCAAATCCAAGCACGAAGAAAACAAATGACCACATACACTACACTTGAAAACTGTATCTACATTTCCAGTGGTACAACTAACACTCATTTCTTTCAGAGGGAAAGGAGATTCTCTTTCTGCATTCATTTCCTGAGCAGACTTGCTTTCAGTATCTGTTTTCAGAGAAACAGCATCAATAGTTTTAAAATCACAAGAGGATGGCATAGCATTTAAAAGATCTGTGCCTCTGTCTGAGCAGTCCTTCAGGAAGGTCTCCTTTCCTGCTTCATCTAACAAGACACCCACTTCTGAAGCTGAGCTAACTGGAGTGTTGAATCCACAGGTGCTCTCTTCTGCAGATTTAAGAGGCTCTGCCTCCTCTAGTCTCATTCGTTTGGCAGCATGATTATTTCTGTCTTCCTCCATAGCAATGCTGCCCAAGCTGGATGACTCTGAAAAGGCTCGTTTGCTTGTGAAACTCTCAGAGGAATGTGCTATCCCATCAGATATAGGCCCACAATTGTCATTACTAGATGAAACACTTTTCAAGTCTTTTGTTTCCTTGTTTACATTTTCATCCTCATCATTGTCAGGTTTATTATCAGAATCCATCATTAATAAAATGCAGGTGATATTTCTTGTATCAAAGGAGGCTTAATTGGCACTGAAAACCTGTGAAGTAAATAAACATGGTATTCAGCCATTGAATGCAAAGAAAATGCACATGTCAGTCTGAAACTGAATGATAAAAATACCATGAAACTGGCCTTATACAATTTCCTTTACACACTTAGAATGTGATCATATGTATAAAGTTCTTTATGAAAAGCATGCAATGTAATTTGTTGAACACCACACCATATGACTACTGACTCAGAAAGCAAAACTATGATATCCCCGAAAGAAAAAACAGGTATTTTCAGACAGCCCGCAAAAAAGAAAAAATCAAACAACAAAAGAACTCATTCTTCAATTCTGTACCCCAATAGATTTCAGTTGATTACTACACACACAAACACATACATACACACACACACACACACACACACACACACACACACACACAAAGAAGCTCTCCTTTCAAATTACATTACAAGGGTGGCAAGCATGAGGTCTAGAATTTAATTCCTGGCATCAAATTACAATGTAGTGAACTCCCACTTTGTAAAATAGATGAGAACAAAACTTGTAAGACAGAAGTCTAGAAGTCAGACCTTCCCCTTCTTGACCTCCAAACAGAAACCTAAATCCTACCTTAAGAAGTCATTTTCCCCAAAGAGCTATGCTTTTTCTAAATAGATCCCAGTTAACAAGATATACTATATATTCTCACCACACATCATCACCATTCATGCTCAAGTTTTTTTACCAGTGAAAATTCACTGCTCTTCCAGTTGTCAGTTATTAACTTCCCCACACACTAATTTTGTATTGTCAGATGGTTAATGGCAAAAGGAAAGGCCAGTGGTACAGGACAATTGAAGTAAATTTTTAGAGAAAATTTTGTATTAATAAAAGCCCTAAAATCAATATTACTGATTTTTTCATGATGTATAATTAAATTTAGACCTATCATTTTCCATTTACTTTACACTATGATTGAAATTTTCAGATAAATGCTATTTAACTTTAATACAAAATCATCAGCGCATTACAGCCTCAAGGTAATGATACGTATTTTAACTATTCTACTTATTTTTTTCATGAAGACTACAAATAAAATGAAGCCTGTTTTTTTGATTCTAGGAGCAAGGAAGAAAAAACAATATATGAGACATAGCATCAAAACCATAAATAACAGAAGGTAAATTCGATTTCATGAAAATGAAAAGCTTCAAATGACACTATGTTTTAATAGCACTAAAAGAAAGTAAAAAAAAAAAAAAACACACAGAATAGGGAAAAAAAACTACACATCATATATCTATATATCTGATAATTTGCATTAGAATATACAAAGAACTCTTACAACTCAATAAAACTAATTTTCATATAAGCAAGGAATCTCATTTGTTCAAGAAAACTACAGAAAAGGCCAATAAGCACATGATAAAATACCCTCAGTCATTTGTCATTAGAAAAAGGCAAATCAAAATCAAAGAAACAGGACCCCACAATGTGCTGTATACAAGAAACACATCTGACTTAAAAGGAAACTCATAGATTAAAAGCCAAAGAATGTAAAACAGTATTCCATGCAACAGGAGCCCAGAAAAAAGCAGGGGTTATTATTCTGTTTGCAAACAACGTGAATTTCAAATCTAAATGGATTAAAAGAGATAAAGAAGGCCACTACACACTTGTTAGTGGAAAAATTCAAGATGAATAACTAACAATTATAAATATATGCACCAAACACAGGAGCACCTGATATGAAAAACCAAATACACAAGAACACAATTATAACAGGATCTTAATATCCCATTGTCACAAAGAGATAGATCAACTAGACAAAAAGTCAGCAAAGAAATAATAGAACTGAATCATACCTGTGAGCAAATGGACTTAGTACATATTTACAGAGTATTCCACCCAACCACATCAGAATACACATTCTTCTCAGCTATGCGTGGGACATTCTCGAAAACAGACAATATAATAACCCATAAAACACTTAAATAAATGCAAAGGAGTTGCAATTATCCCATGCATATTATCTGACCATAGTGCACTAAAACTGGAAATTAATGGAAATAGAAATTGCAAAGCCTGCATAAATACATGGAAATTAAATAACAACCTTTTGAACAACCAGTGGGTTACAGATGAAATTAAAAAAGAAATAAAGCAATACTTATAACTCAATGAAAATACAGAAACAACATATCATAATCTATGGGATGCAATGAAAATGGTCTTAAGAGGAAAATATATAGCAATAAATTGTCATATCAAGAAAACAGAACAAGCAGAAATAAACAACCTAATGCTACATCTCAAGCTTCTACATAAAGAAGAGCAAGTTAAACCCAAAGCTCATAGGAGAGAAGAAATTATAAAGATCAGAGCAGAAATTAATACAATTGAAACTAAAAAAAAAAATAATACAAAGAATTAATGAATCGAAAAGCTGGTTTTTTGAGGGAATAAACAAAATTGATAAACCTCTGGCTAACCTTATGAAGAAAAAGAAAAAATCCAAATTCATGCAATGAGGACTGCAAAGAAGAAAATTACTACAGATCCCATGGAAATTCAAAAGATCATGAATACCTACTTTGAAAATCTCTACTCAGACAGAGTGGAAAACAGAGGAAATGGACAGATTTCTAGAAACATATGAACTACCAAAGCTCAACCAAGAAGATATAGCAATTTTGAACAACCCAGTATCAGCTACTGAAATTGAAAATGTGATTAAAAAAAATTTACCAATAAAGAAAAGCCCAGGTCCTAATGGATTCACGGCTGCCCTCTATGAGAAATTTAGAGAAGACTGGACACCAAAACTCCTTAAACTTTTCAACGAAATTGAAAGGGAGTAATCCTCCCTAAATCATTCGGGGAGGCAAGTACTACTCTGATACCAAAACCAGAAAAAGACCCAACCATAAAGGAGAACTATAGGCCAATCTCACCAATGAACATTGATGCAAAGATTCTCAATAAAATACTGACAAATAGAATGTAACAAATCATCAAGAAGATTACATATCAGGACCAAGTGGGATTCATTCCAGGAATGCAGGGATGGTTTAACATATGCAAATCAATAAATGTAATACACCACATCAACAGAGCCAAAAACAAAAACCACATGGTCATCTCAATAGATGCAGAAAAAGCTTTTGATAAAGTCCAACACTTGTTCATGATAAAAACCCTTCAGAATCTCGGAATACATAGTATCTACCTCAATCTCATAGAGGCCATCTATGACAAACCAACAGCCAACATTATACTAAATGGACAAAAATTGAAAGGCTTCACTCTAAAATCAGGAGCAAAACAAGGATGTCCACTATCACCACTCCAATTCAATATAGTTATGGAAATATTAGCCAGAGCAATCAGACAAGAGAGAGAAATAAAAGGAGTAAAGATAGGGAAAGGAAGAAATTAAATTATTACTATTTGCAGATGACATGATACTCTATATAGAAGACCCAAAAAACTCCATTAAAAAACTACTAAAAGTAATAAACAAATTCAGTAGTATGGCTGGATACAAAGTTAACACTCAAAAATCAATAGCATTCCTGTATACAAACAAAAAACTCATCGAGAGAGAAATTATGGAAATACCACCTTTCACAACAGCATCTAAAAAAATGAGATATGTAAGAATCAACCTAATCAAGAATGTAAAAGACCTATATGGTCTGAAAATTATATTATGCTAATAAAGGAGACTGAACAGGATATTAGAAAATGGAAGGATATTCCTTGCTCTTGGCTAGGAAAATCAACATGGTGAAAATGGCCATACTCCCAAACCTGGTATACAGATTCAATGCAATCCCAATCAAAATATCATTAACAGACCTTACAGATCTAGAGAAAACACTCCTAAAATTCATTTGGAAACAGAAGAAACCTAGAATAGCAAAGGCAATTCTGGGCAACAAAGGCAAGGCAGGAGGCATCTCAATTCCTGACTTGAAACTATACTACAAAGCTACTGTAATAAAAATCAGCATCTACTGGCAAAGAAATAGACCTGAGGATCAATGGAACAGATTAGAAGATGCAAACACAACCACAAAGACACTCAGCCACTTGATATTTGACAAAAGGGCTAAACATGTTCACTGGAAGAAGGAGAGCCTCTTCAATAAACGGTATTGGAAAAACTGGCTTTCCATATGCCGACAACTCAAACTAGACCCATGCCTATCACCATGCACTAAACTAAAATCAAAATGGATCAAAGATCTAAATATTAAAACAGAAACACTAAATCTACTGGAAGACAAGATAAGTAGAAGTCTTGGAAACATAGGAGTAGGCAGAGAATTCATGAACAAAACGCAAACCACATGGGAAACAACTGGGACCTTATATTATTCAAATGTTTTTGCACGTCAAAAGAAATCACCAACAGGAGTACAATAAACCTTTCCTTCTTTAACTTCAGGTGTTGAGTATTCTGTCTCAGCAACAAGAAAAGTAACTAAAACAGATACATTTCTTCCGTTGTGTTCCAGAAATACAAGTTAATAGGTGTTGAATAAAAAGTTAATAGGTGTTGAAGTATCACTGATCAAATAAATTTAGAAACTCCTTACCAGAGGATTTCCTCAGAATATAGCATATCCCAATCTCATTTCTTTACAGAACTTTTCCTTATTTAAAAAAAAAAAAAAAAAAAAAAGACTAATGCTACAAAATACCACTTAGAAAACACTGATTTAGGGGCTGGGGATATAGCTCAGCAGCAAAAGTGCCTGCCTGGCAAGAGCCAGGTCGTGAGTTCGATTCCCAGTACCAAAAAAAAAAAAAAGGACGAAAGAAAAGAAAATGTTGTTTTAGATTCAGTATTGATTTTCTACTATGGAAGAATAAAGGGGAAAAATCAAGTCAAAAACCAAGCACTACATGCTCATTCCAAAATACATACTTAGTAATGACTTAGTGCCTATGACATGCCTTTTACTTGTAGATGCTGGACATACAGCAAACACCACCACAAGACCTTTGTCCCCACTGGGCTCTGCCTCACATGCCTGGAA